GGCCGGGGAGCCGCGGGGCAGGGAACAGACGTCTTGAGCGCCTTGTTTAGTGCCCACCAGAGAGTTCACCAGGCTCCCACCATTTCTCTTCAGCAGCGCCGCCAAGGTTTTTCCCCTTTCATCAGGAAGGAGCGAAGAGCTCCTCAGGAGAACCAAATACGCTATTTAAATCTATTGGGAAGGAGTCCTGAGCTAAGGTTGGTTTGCTTGAGAAGGAAACCGGTGAGAGAAGGAAGACACAACTATAAATTTCTTAGGAAAACGATAAAAGAGCACCTCCTCTCACAGTCCCAACCCTTGAAGCTGCAATAACCTATTTTTGTATTTATGTGCTGTATGGAATCTTTCTTACTTTTTAAAATTAAAGTCATTTTTAAAATGATTTTTTGAGATTGCTTGAGGAGAAATTTGTCATCTCTCTGGAGATAACTGGAAATGCCCGGAGGTGACCAAGGACTGGAGTTTAGTCACTGCCGGAAGGTCTTGAAAGATGGAAGTATTCTGCTTTATTTCTACCCAGCCAGGTTTTCGTACGTGTGAGCAGGTGACAAATGCTCTGACAGGGCACTTCTTCAGCTCTTCCCTAGAGGGGTGACAGGATGAAGAGATTGGACGCACCTTTTTTTCTAACCTCTGATAACAAGACATGGGATGGTGAGGGACTAGATGAACTTTGTAAAGCTGCAATGTTTTGTTAAGGCGTGAAAGAAAGCCTGTTGGTGGATGTGGTTTATTTTTTGTTATAAGCACACTCCAAGAACCGAGTGGTTGCCCAGCTCTGCTGTGGTCTTGCTATGTCCCCTATCCCCGGTGGCATGAGAAGGCCACTTGAGAACCCCAGAGGTGAATCCTGCAGATGGTCAGACGTCTAGAGATGCCGCCATTCCGGTTTCCGTCTTGTGATGTCACCCCAGGGCCGACGCCCCGCTGCACTCACACACAGCCGCTCAGCTTCCAGCATCACTTCGGGCTGTGCTGTCCAGGGAAGAGCCCTGGGAGCCCCAGCTTCCAAGGAGTCCTTCCCTCCAGTGGTTACCCCAATCGAAGACGATTCCTTCATGGACAACTGGAAGCTGGATTTTTGAAAGTCTAACGTTTACTTGAAGGAGAATCTCTCTTATTTATTGCCACCAGTTAAATATTATGGAAACATGTCTGCTAACAATTTGCTTTGTGTAATTTGTTCTAATGCTAATAAGCAACAGCTGGGATACTTCCTGTGGTAAATTCCTTTGTGGTTACAGTGGTATTGTCACACATGGACTTCACCAAAACGCTGTACTTAAGAAGAACATTCACTCTGGCTCTCTCAGACTTCAGGAAATTCCCCTAACTTAGAAACAGTTCTGGGCAAAAGCACATTTTTAGAGGGAGATTTGCTCTTCTTCACTCCCTGCTTCCTCAAGCAGGCCCCCAGACCTGTGCTTTCCAAATCCTACATACAGAGCCTGAGGGCGGTTCTCCTCACTTAGCACTGAGCTTGAGTTCCTCCAGGGGAAAAGCAGAAAGCAGAACTTAAGAATGACGCCTTCCACCAGGTGAGGATGCCACACCCGGAGTCGATATTAAGAGCATGTGGGCAGGAGAGGAGTGGAGACACATCCACAGGCGAAGAGGTGGCTCAGCAGGTGATCAAATAGTGACGACGTCAGCCAGTGTGGGGACTGCAGCATCTCTCTGTCCAAAGGGTCTCAGTATACCACTCAGACTTGCTCTCGGCTGCCAGCCCACCACGCTCTGCTCTGTCGTCCCACCGTATCACCTGAGCCTTAGAGCTCGTTCCACGCACCGATGCTTGACTCAAAAGGCCAACACAAACGTCTTCCGTTAGATCCTACTTTGGAACACACCTGGTGCCTTGCTTTTCCGAACAGCTCACCGTGCAAGAGCAGACCCTAATGGAGTGCCCTTTCCCCGTCACCCGTGTGACTGGACGCCACCTCCATCATAAATGTAGCATCCCCAAATCTCAGGAAGGCTCTGCCTCCCCACCCAGTGCTGGATGGCCTTCCCCACAGCCCTGAGAAACAGCTGTGCCCGACTACTTCCCATTAGGGGGAGTTCACTCCCATAGGAAGTGGCTTGTTTCTCTGTTGGACAGCTCTGGTTGTGAAAAAGTTATTTCTCAGGGAGACACAGATGTCTGTGAATCACACACAGACGTTTGAGATGAAGCCAACTCTGCAATCTTTCTCTTTTTAACAGAGCTCGCCCATGCAGTAAACCGCACCTATAATCCAAATCGACATTGGCAAGTAGATCCCAGCTCTGCTACATGAGGATAGGGGGCAGACACTTTATATAAATGTAGAACTTAGCTAGGTCATGGCCCTCAGATTCATCAGCCCTGTCATGAAGAACTAGCAAAATTCTTGTGGCCTCACACATGCACAAAAGGGGGTCCTGGGAGAATCTTCAGTGCAGCTGTGAATCTGGCTGTGGTCACATAGGCATGTGAGTTACCTGAGCACGTGGGCAGGAGAGGAGTGGATGGATTGTGTGAATGGATCTGTAAGACCATGCACTTCATTAACTGTGAAGAAAATGCTATGAGATGCTGAGGGCCTATCTCTTAATTGTACTCATTAGTGATATGATGAACTAAGAAAGCTTTAGTTTAGATAAAAATAAGTTATAATCGATGATAGAAAAATAAACATGGTCTGCCCTGACGGTATGAAAGAGTGACACAGTTATGACCCCAGGCCCAAGTTACATTTCGTGCTTGTATGTGCATTCACGAGTGAGTGTGTATT